TTTGTACAAATTGGACTTGACGCCCAATTCTTATCAGTTTATGTCAGCAGAGATTCTTGAATTGTCGACACGACAGTAAAGTCGAAATCAAGAATTACAACCTACCACTTTAAAATGTTTAAATTGCATATTAAACTGGAATAGTGAAAAGGAACACCACTTTCCCTCCCGTCATTTCTTCAATCTGTAGTATGTAGAGTGCCATTTGTTGTCTCCAGGTCACAGCACATTTGTTCTTCATCAGCTAATGAAGTTCGTTACTGATCTGTCTGATCAAATAAGTAGACCTTTTCTACCACTTTATCCAACTCCCTCACAATTTTAAACTTTTCGATCAATGGGACCATAGGCCAAATGATGCAGAAGCAGAAGTAAGCCAGTCAGCTCATCAAGTCTGCTCCGCTATTCAATGGTGTCATGGCTGATCTGGTAATCTTCAACTCCATTCTCCTGCCCCATGTGAATAACCCTTGATCTCCTTACTGATTAAACATCTGTCTAGCTCAGCTTGAAAATACTCAACAATTCAGAGAGACAATTCCAGACAATTACTGGGTCCTGAGCAATACAATTCCTCTTCGTTTCAGAATTAAATGGGCAACACCTTGTTCTGAGATTGTGTCCTTTGGCTCTCGATTCTCACACTAAGGCAAACCACCTGTCCATATCCACTCTTTCAAGGTCCCTAAGAATATTGAATATTTATAAATGTTATTGTATGGTTATAAATCTCCCCACCCCCAGCCTCCTTTGTTCCAAGGAGAACAATCCCAGCCGAACCAAGCATTTCATTCCATTTTATCCAGTCTTGGGAAAATGCCAGGATATCTTCTGTAGTGTCCATGAATATTTTTAAGGGAGATTGACGACAATTCTGTGAAACAAGTGGTTTAGCGTTTATCAGGCATATGCAGGGGTCGGGATTTAGTGTCAGAATCAGATTTACTCGAAAATATAGAATAGTGGGGCATTGAGTTTCTCTGATTCCAGGCCTGGGAACTGGGATTATATAGTCGTCTGCAGCAGTGGTCACTTCCTTGTCTGAGGAAACTGCTGGTATAACCGTTGTAAAACTCAAATGCTCATTGAAAAATACATCCAATATCGCACTCCAGCAAAAAATCATTTCCATATGAAAATGAATCACATTCACCAAGTGAATAAAATGCAGAAAGTCTTCATTTTAAACTGTAAGAAATAGGAGTATGATGTGGCCACTCAGCAAAGATTCCAAAGATGCTCCCCATTGTGTGTTCCCTCATCTCAGTCCGCTGTTTGGCAAGTTTTCCTGTCGTGTGCCTGGTGATGCTCCTGTCACACCCTGAAGCACTGCGCTTATTTCCTGTTCCCTGAGGCCTCATTGTGCGGCGCCGTGACCAGATGGAGGTCCTTACTGTATGATGCGGCTGCAGCAGCTCTTGTTCGAATCCGGCCACGGCATTAACTGTGGTACACAATTTCCCCGTAACATGTACTAAAGGAACGCAATGAAGGATCAATTTAAATTCCAGAAAGCGTGCTCATGGAGGCGTGTTCAATGCCGATGTTGTGAGAACAAGCATCACCCAGGGCAGCTTTTGTTAGCATAGACCAGCGATTCTTGAAGCGTCAGGCTCAGGAAAATAACAAGAGAGCGAAGTTCAGCGCAACAGATGCCATTACAAAAGACCAGTTTCTGCATTGTGCAGTTCATTTGTCAGGTTTGCCTCATTTAGCATTTTGAAATTGTCCGCTCTGTAAACAATTACGAGTCATTAATATCTGTTGAGTAGAGAGCTGGTCCCAGTACTGACTTCTGGGAGCAGCAGAGTGCATTCTCCTCGAGTCTGAAAAACAATTCCTCACAGACAATGTCACATCGCCGCTGTCAACAGGCTTTTCATTCAATTGGCTCCAATTCTTCATCGAATTCGATTCAATAGATCATAGATCGTAGAATCATAGAATCCCTACAGTGTGGAAACAGGCCCTTCGGCCCAACAAGTCCACACCGACCCTCAGAGCATGTCACCCAGACCCATTCTCCATAACCCACCTAATCTTGTCATTGAGTAATTTCTTCATTTGTGTTCAGCTCATGAGAGCAGTGTGTCGCAATAGGAGTGACCCACAGGTCATACCATACTCTAGAAATCATACCCTGCTGCATATTATCTCACAAACACGGGGGAGAAATACTTGCTGCTCTGCACAATTTAATTAAGTGAGAGAAACATGAGGTCTTAATAAGATCACATGTCACCTTCTTTAAACGGGTGACGAGGTGGCCGAGAGGTTAAGGCGATGGACTGCTAATCCATTGTGCTCTGCACGCGTGGGTTCGAATCCCACTCTCGTCGCTGTTCTCAACTATTTCGCTGCTGCTCTCCTTCTTTATATCTTGCTACTTTCGTAGAAAGTGAAGCAAGAATCCAATTCTTGTCAGTTGATCTCGCCGGAGATTCTTGATCAGTCAACTTTATGGTAAAGTCGAAATCAAGAATTGGAACTTGTCTGAAATCTATTAAAAAGTAGGTTGAATTCGGACCATAAGAGGAAGCTCGATTTTCCCTCCCATTATTCCCCCCAAATTGTCCTCCAATAAACAGACATGGAATGAAAGAGAAACAGGTAAAAAATAACGAAATATCAGAAGCACAGGTTTATACAGTGGGATTGTTGATGAGTATTTAAACTAACATTCAACACAGGGGCTAATATTTCAAACAGTCCTTACTAAACCGATGGCAAGACAGATGCTTGATGAAAGACGCGAGCACAACGGGCTCAGTGCAACTTGAGGATGGCTCTTGTTGCAATGGACATTGCAGTGGATTACCACAGATCTGTGATTCGAAGGTCGTGTTCAAAACCAGCAGAGTCGGCTTTCATTTCAGGTTCCAAACGAATCAATGGTGTTCTGTGGAAACTGCTTCATCTGCACTTGCTGTCATTCTGAATTCCAGTCCCTGCTACTGACCAGAGGACGTTCGTCACCAT